GAGGTAGTAACGTTATTTAAGTTGTTATTTATTCTTAGGTTATGTTCGTGGTCATTTCTTTTTTTGTTGTATGAAGAGCTTGTTTTTCAATATACTCTTTTTCTTCTTTGTTGATGATGCTATATTTTTTCTGACTATGGTCGTGTTTTCGGTATCTGTTGATTGTTATTTGGGAACTGTTGCTGTCCGGATTGTTTTAAACAAGTGCTTCTATCTTTTTAGTCCTTTATAATAAAAAAAATTCTTCTGCTTTTATGGCGAATTTGTTCCTTTTTCTCTTTTTTATTTTTTTATTGTTTTATTGTTCTTTAGTGATGATGATGTGTTTTTCTTTTGTTCTTACCATGTATCAGATAACTCTCTATAATGATTTTGCAATTGTTGATGTTGTCCGGTTTATTATTGAATCATGCTGCTATCTTCTTTTTCTCAAAGTTTTTATTTGTCTTCGCTTCAATTTTCTCTTTTTTTTTCTTTTTTTTTTGTTTTCTTTGTTTCAGTATTAATTTCGTCTTCTACTATTCTGTGTAAATTTTTTAATAGTTCAGTTGGCAGCCAAGGAACTTCGTAGTTTTTGATGTTGCCTGGATTATTTTGGATTTATGCTGCTTTTTTCTTCTTCTCAGCCATTTTCTTTGCCTTCAAGTCATGTCTCTATTTTCATTTTTCCTTTGTTTCTGTTTCTTCCGCTTCATCATAGTGTTCTTCTACTGCTGTTCTATATAAATCTTTTAACCATGTTGAGTTATTCTGCTTTTCTGTTATATCCGTGTTTTTATGATCTTATGCTTTTTCCCTCTCTCATTTGCTCTTTTGATTTTATAAGTGATTTCTTAAATAATTCAGTTGGCAGCCAAGAACGTTGCTGAATCACCTTTCAATTACCTGCGATACATAGTGTTAGCAATATAAGAAAAATACCTTAACCTTTTTTTTAACTTTATTATTGTAATAATACTATTGATTAAATAAAAAAATTAATTATATATTCCTTTTTTTTGTTAGGTTCATTAATAGTGTTTATCATTAGCTTTTTTTGTTTATCTATCTCTTATTTTTTATTTGTTTTACAGTTGTAATTTATTTTGTCTTCTCGTTCAACAGCTGAATACAAATACCGTCTTCTTTTTATGTACGGACAGATAAAATATTTGTATCTAACGTGTTTACTATAACATATGCAATGCAATAAATGATGTTTAATTTTTTTTAAGAAGAGTTATCATTCATTGAATTTTTTAAAACATCAGTAGTTTCAATGTATTTCGGTTAATTATAGTAGATCTGAGGTTTTGTTCAGGATTGTATTTATGAACAAGAAAAAATAAGGCAACTCTATCCGGCTGATCGTTCGTTCCTGGGAATTCCTCTCTCACACAAAAGTAATATATTAAACATCAAAGATAAGCTTTGTATATTTTATTTGTATTTTATGTAAACATAACATGATTTGTAAACATATCAATAACTCTGTAACTGATTATTACATTATTTATTTTAAATTTATTATTACGTGAACAAATATACCGCTGAATAATGTTAATCCTTTTCTCTTTTACACTGTTCTAAATAGTAATCTTTTTGCAATATTGTAATTTATACTCTTTTGTACTTAGCTTCTTACCTACTTTATTTACTCTTCACTTCCCTACTTTCCTTAATTTGCTACCGCATTAGATTATATTGACCACTTATCTCTTTATTTTCTCATTGTTCTCAGTTCTTTCGCTTGCCATATAAATTGACTTATTTATCTTACGTTGATGGGGGCTGCAGGCTGAGCTACGGTTAGGCTGATGGAGCTGAGGGTTTGGCAAGGGCAAAGCCAAGGGTGACGCGAGTTGGGAGGTAACGGGGTGAGAGGGAATGACTCTGATAAAGGCCTAAAACGAATGGCCGGAATTTTGTGGTCTTGTATCAATGGCTGAGATTAAATGGGATTATTGATGTAGCGTAGGAAAAGAAGGTCACTCACCTGTTGACTAGAGCCATGTGTGTATCAAACCACTGGTTCACCAAACTCGTATATAACTATTTTCTAGTACACAATCACATAATTTCTCTAGAGCTGGAAAATAAACGTTCCTTTTTTTTAAAATTAAAAAAAAAAGATATTAAGTTAGAAACCACATTGCTTCTCAAAATTCAGGGACAATCCTCTTCCAGAACCAATGCTTTCTCCACAAGAAAGTCATCTCTTCAATGGGCACTCCTTTGGTTTCAGGAAGGAAGACATAAACAAAGATGGTCATCAAAGTGATCCATCCAGCAAAGAAGAGGAAGATCCCAAATTTGAAGGCACACAAAAGAGAAAGGAAAGATTGGGCAATTATGAAGGTGAATAGAAGGTTGACTGCCACTGTAATGCTTTGACCAGCTGACCGAGTTTCCAATGGAAAGATTTCACTTGGAACTGTCCAGCCAAGTGGACCCCACGACCATCCAAAGGCCAAAACAAAGAGGCAAATCACAATCACAACCAATATTGAAAAGTCCTTTGATAGTTCTTGGTTGTCTCCTAACTTGACCCCCAAAATTATGGCCACTATAACCTGTATTAATTTCAAGAATCAAGATAATGATTAGCTAGTGATCAATTAAAAAGATACCAAGAGAAACAATAAAACGAAAAGCAATTATTAGCTAATAAAACGATAAATACTACATAACGACAGCAACATTGTAAACGACAATGAATTGCAAAAAAGAATATCAACCGCAAACGACGGACTAAAGAAAAACAGAATGAATATAAAAGTGAAAAGTTAATGAAGAAACTAACGATGCCAGAAACATTAAGAATAACAACAACCTTGGAGAACGACATAAACATGAAAAAAAAAAAAAAAAGTACAAATTAAAAAACGAAAATGACCTAAAATGAGAAACGGGAAAATATCAAAACGACAACAACATTCAAGAGCTAGATGAACAAGAGAAAAAAATACACCAATCAGAAAAAACGACGATAAACCTGAGAGAACGACATTGACTTTAAAAAAAAAAGAGATATGAACCGGAGAATTGAAGGAAAGAAAACAACAGGAATCCAAAACTGCAAAGACAAACTACTTGAAAAAGGACAATAAATTACAGTCCTGCTTTCCCTTTTTGGTACTAGAAAGCCTTTTGAACTTGGAAGTGCATATAGTGAGCAGTGCACTTTAAGAAAGATAAGCATCACTTAAATGCTCATTCTTCTCAGTCTACTCCTACTAAATCTCACTTTGCCCAGAATGAAACAAGCTTTTACCTGGCATATGATCATTTGTATTCCCCCACTTATTAGCAAAGCCCTGCGACCCAATCTATCAACTGTTGCCATCGAAATAAGTGTTGATGAAGCAAGAACAGCCCCAGTTATAGCTGAAGAATACAAAGAAGCATTTCGACCAAACCCCATGCTCTGAAACAACACAGGAGCATAGAAAAGAATAGAGTTTATTCCTGTGAGGATCTGAAACATCGGCATAAAGATTGCCATGACCAATTGAGGCCTGTTCCGATTCTCAAAGATGTTCTCAAATGGATGCTCAATTGCACTGGATATTGCACTTGCATCCACTATGTCCTGAAACTCCGCGTCCACATTCTTGGTCCCTCTAATCTTTTGCAAGCCTTTTCTACCCCTCTCTTTAAATCCCCGCTCAACTAGATTATTCGGTGTCTCAGGAAGGAAGATTCCTCCAACTGTCATCATCAAGGCCGGCACTGCAGCCAACCCCAGAGAGACCCTCCAACCCCAATTGCCAAGCTTTTGAGTTCCATAGTTGACCATGTTTGCTGTGAAGATTCCGAGTGTGGTTGCTAGTTGAAACATCATGTTCAAGGCTCCTCTAAGATGGGCAGGTGCCATTTCTGATAAATATAGTGGGACTGCCTTTTGTGATAGTCAAAGAGAAACATGGAATCAGGTAACTCAAAATTTAAAACTACTAAACAGTATACTTTTTGTATTCGGAAGTGAAAATGATGGTGGAGATGCTTTTAGGCAACATCCTAAATTCTCCCCCCTTCATTTCACTTTTTATAACAAAACATGAAAATATGGTGAAACGTTTGGAGATGAAACCCAAGGACTTGGGAGTTTAAACTTAAAATTGGCAATGACTAAACACCAAGTGATGAAACACTTTTTTTTTTTTTTTAACCGTTTTCTATTTACTAGATTTGGAGCAAAATAGTATACCTGATTTCCAAACCCAATTCCAACACCAAGCAGGATCCTGCCCAAAATGAGCATTGCCATATTAACTGCTGAGGCATTTAGAGTTGCTCCGACGAAGAAGCTGACCCCGCCGGAGATTATGCTAGCACGCCGCCCGTGGTTCCTTGTGACCAGAGAGGCAAGCAATGATGATACTAGACCAGCAAGGTACAGAGAGGAAGTGAATGCTGCAAGCACTTGGTTGTTGTACTTACAATAGTTGTTTTCATGTGCTGACTTCTTTTTTCTGTACACTTCTTTGAAGAAGCGTTCAAGAAATCCATCCATTGATGTAACTCCTCCTGTGCGTCATTAAGCAATTAGGATTGATTTTTTTTTTTTTTAAGCAAACATATTTATTATTATTTTTTTTTAAAGCAAACACTACTTACACGTCGAATTTTATCAAACTAGGATATATTTGTCCTTTTTTTTTTTATCTATTTACCAACCATTTATTCCTTCCGCAAAATTACATATCAACTACGTTATATTCAGAAATAAAATAAATAACTAAAAGAACAATAAATAAGGTTATATTAGTTCATTTTCTCAATTATTTACCAACTATTTATTCATTATCCCAAAATAATAGCTGATTCTATTTAAAAAAATAAATAAATAAATAAATAACGCTAGGCATATGGGAGGCTAATAACGAAAATGATAAATATCCCCTGCTTAAGAGTCTAATAATTATCCTCTTTTCCGCAAGATGCTCAACCCCTCGCAATTTCATGACACCTGAACTTTACACGCCTCACTTTCCGTTTCCTTTGACCCAAACATGAAAAGTTCTATACTTTTTTTCGTTTTACTATTAAAGAAAACCAGATTACACAGAAGAGTGAAATTCCTTTACCAAAACCCAAAATTTGCAGAAGTTAAAGAAATCTTGATCACTGAGCCAAAGTAAATAAATAAAAAAATAATAATAAAAAAAAGAAGAAGAAAAAAAAAAAGGAAAAGTACCTGAAATGCCAATATCATAGCCAAATATTGCGCCTCCAATAGCAGCAACGAAACAAGCAATAATGACATAGGCGGTGACCTTCCCTTGGTACTGCCCTGCTCTCTCCATGGCCAGACCACCATGACCAAAAGACCCACCTGCCATTTTCAAAGATGAACTTATTTTTCTCCTCAAAACCTCACCAATCTCTGAGTTGGGATTTAATTTACGAAATGATAAATATACGAAATGTTCACTGTTTAGAGTTGGGTTTTAATTTAGTGAGGATACGCTATAGAGTTTTGGTTAGTTAATTTACAGTTGACTAAGTTAGAAAACGAAAGGTTCAAGCAAAAAAAAAAAAACAAAAAACAAAAAACAAAAACAGCTGCGAATGGAAATGATTATGTATATTTGGATGTTGATCGGCAACAAAGAGATATTTTAGAGCAATAATAGCGAACAAAGAAATAGACTTTGTTGCTGTCATTCTCGTTTGGCACACCGAATAAGACACATACTTTTCTGGCACGTCAGAGTTACATTGTTAGGCATAAGCTACCTACATTAGAGTTAATTAGAGTTAGTTTGGTACAAGAATTTACATCCGAATAATTTTAATCATAATTCTAGAATCAACTATAATATATAATTTTAGATTTAAATTATGATTCTGACACTATGATTTAAAATTAAAAGTTTGAATCATGATTTAAGTTAGTTTAAAACATCACATCAATTTTTAATTATGATTTAGAATCATCCAAACTAAATATTGATTATGAATTATGATTCAGAATCACTATAAACAAATAATAATTCTAAACTAAGATCCAGAATCATAATTATAAATCTATCTATCAAACGCACCCTAAAACTTGTAATAAAATTGTAAAAAGAACTCAACAAATAAAAAGAAAAAATTGTTGAAAAGGAAAACTAGTTGTAATAAAATGCTATTTTAGCTAGTTTTTATGCCATGTGTTTGCCAATTGTGTAGCAAAGGTAACAAAAGGTATGTACTATCATAAGCAAAATACATATTATTATAAATATATTAAAGGAAATCCATATTATCACGATTCACCTACACACACTTTATTATTCATTGTACAGTGCACATTTTTTCCCATTTTACCCTTGCTCTCTCTTTTGTTCTCCTTCTTTTGTGTGGGGCGTTTTTATCTTTTCAATCTCATGTGTTGTGACTTTACAGGTGCGTTTAGAATTAGTTTTAAAATGATTTTATTTTCTGTATGAAAATAGAAATGAAAATGTTTTCATTTTTATTTTAGAATTATTTCTGAAAATGCGTTTGGTAGTTTTATTCAGATATTGATTTCAGTTTTAAAAAAAAACTGAAACTGCATTTGGTGGTTTAATTTTTAAAAATATGTAATAATATTTAAAATAATAATATATTAAATAAATATTATTATTAAATATATTAAATAATATTATATTAAATATATAAATATTATTAAATATATTAAATAATAATATTTTAAATAAACATGATTATATATATACATGA